TCAGAAGTCTGCCAGTTTCTCCGACTTAGTGGCTTTGTCCGCAACTGCACTAGATCCTATAGACAACTTAAGATGTTTCTTGCCGTGACAGTGGGTCTTTCGCTTTCATTATCTGATGCCTTATGGTTGCTTCCGGCCTTCTTCCCATTTACTTCCTGGAACTCTTACGTAAGCTTGTATTAGCATTAAGTACAACGACCTGGCAATACATATTTGGTGCTCAGAATCAAGTTTGCCAAAGCAATTGGCCAGTCGATGAACGCACAGGCGAACGCGTCGTTCTTAGGCCTGCGCCAGGGAGCTAAATGGCCGAGTTATCATCACACCCAAGTCCAGCACTGGTGAGGTAAGTTCAGCTGATCTCGTTCCGCACACCAGCCATCGAGCAAGTAGCGCACAAGTGGTCAACGATTCTCGAAAGGGAAAGGCCTTAACTGGCATAAGTATGCTGTAGCATAGCGCCTGTATTCTATAAATACTGCAACTCCTTGCGTAGGAAATACCCATTTCCGCTTTTATCCTCGATGATGGACCGGCGATGGATTTCCAAAAGTCAGACGAATAAATGCCTTTTCACAGTGATCAAATCTACCTTTTTTCTATTGGTAACCTGTTAACTTTTGAGCTACGGTTGCTCAGCAAGTAAACTTACAAAGAATCACTTTTGTCACCATTTTAGTCCTTACGAACTTCCGCAGACGAAGGGGTTTCTAGGTGTTTTCAGTAATACCTAGAAAGGAATGCCTTCCCATTATTTATAGATTTTTCATATAGTCTCCAGTTTTTAAGACAAAATATTGGTTGGTAACCAGTTTAAACTCACTTCTTTTCTTTTCAGTTCGCCTACATTGCCTTCCTTATCTTCTACGCGTACGTTTTGCTGTTTGCACTTTATCCGGATCATCTGAGTATCTGCGAAATGGTCCTGATGGTTTGCTTGGGAACTTTCTTTGTGGAAACCATTCGCAGTGTAAGTGTTTCAAACTAGGGCTATGAGAATGCCAGTTGAACAGAAATTGTAATGAACCGGCGGGCGCTATCCCATTGTTCATTGTCTTCCATTTTGCTGTAGATGATCAAGAGCGCGCAACAACCTGGAACTTACAAATCTCGACCATGCAAGTGGCTCACTTCGTACAGTTGGCATGCTTACGACATCTTCCTAAATCTTACAAATATAACAGGCGTCCTTCTGCGAATAGGCCTTGAGACGACCTTCATCTACGCGAAAAGTGTTTCCGCTGTCAGCTGTAAGTGCTATTCTTTCACTCTATAATGTATTCTCGGAGGGTGAGTTTGAGATGATCACGGTTTACCGTATCGGCGGCGGACAAGGCAGCCAGCTAACGCACTATCAGCCCCGTAGTGGTTGTGTGTTTAGGAGTGGACTGGCTCCTTCTAATCCCCTGGTTGCGTTAATCCCGCGATTTGTGTGTCCAGGAGGCCAGGTTTTGCTGTGGCGCACACAGACCGGTTCACCGGCCCTGTCACCGTCTCCGGTTTTCTTCACTCTGTCTTGAGACCAGGCTGAAGTGGTTGAGGAATGAGAGAGAGAGAGCGGTAGATTCTGCGAAAGTCAATCATAACTTAATACTAATTCACGTGCAAGTCACTATCCCTGCATCACTCTAGTGTGGAGTATACGGTAGGAATTGTCGAAATCGACAGTCGAATGATCAATTTGTCCTCGACAGAGGGTCTAGTAGAATAAGCAACGCGGTAGCAGAGTATTCGTATTTAACACCCTTGACTTCAAAGTTATAGCTTGGTGCAACTTTGGGAAGATTACCATGCAGTCCGGTTGATGCAAACATGCCAGCGGAAAAGACGTAGAGGCAGAATATGGGGAAGGGATAAGAATATCACTTCCACCCTCCGAATATTTACAACAATCCGCTATCTGCTCTTTTAAGATTCGGCTTTTTTTTCTCGTTTCAATCAATCAAACATCACAAAAGCTGACGCTTACCGTTTGCCTGCAGCAGTGGGGTGGAAGCAGGGATGGTAACGTACGCGTGAAATAGTTAACAGTGATGGTAGGCTTGAGTTGATTCTACCGCACTCGCACTTCAACCTCACCCAACAGAGTCCTTTGTCAAGAACGTTGGAGGTGAGATGGTGCCCGGTTGCTGTCAACGCTAAACAATCCATCTGCAAGTGTCTGGTTCGCCCTTGATGAAACAAGTTTTCACAGAAAAAAGACGAGTTTTCGGTTCCCATCTCGTCGGAGTGACAAAGATTAATTAATCACACCTTGCATAATGTTTGAAGTCCCCCCTTTCCACCCTTCTTCTGTCAGCGCCTCCTCGTAATCACTCGGGAAAAGTTGTTCGCGTTTTGATCAAACCAACATTTGTTTCATTCAAATAAAATGTTAACAGTTCACCTTACGCTCGTATACTTCAAGGTTTACTGTAGTTTTAATACGCACACTTTCCAGGATGCTTTTTTTCTCAATAAATATTTCCGACATACTTTAAGATATACTCTTCTTCGTCCGTCTCTTCCAACACTACTCCGTCAATCACAAGCTCGGGCCCAAGATTCAAATGATTGTTCAAATGTTCAAGGAACTACTCATCTTTATGGTCATCCTAGCCGTCTTCCTTGTATCCTCGGGTGTTGCAATGCAGAGTCTCCTATACCCTTACCGGACAGAATTTAATGCCTCAGTTCTGCTGGACGTTGTCTACATACCCTACTACCGCATCTACGGCGAACTGAACCTCGACGAGGCGAATGGTATGTTTACTGTTAACTCCTATCCTTTGCGGAAATAGCGAAACCTTATTGCGAATGAATGAGAAACTTTTGCGTTGTAGGTATTAGCGTGAATGAGGAAGACGAGTTGTCGTGCAGCGGATCAATTTGTTTATTGTTCTGAGAGTTCGGTCTTTTGTGGGAATCCCTCGCCGGAGATAAAAACGTCTACGAAGAACAAGCAACAGTAATAGGGGCAGGAACAAATATGGAGGGGGGGGAAAGATGGAGGGAACCCATTAATCATCAGTGTCGGCCGTGCGAGTATGCCTGCAGAAAGTGATTTATGCTGGCGTCGGATCGATAGATCGATTGACGGAATTCTCAACCGAGGTCCAGGATTCAATCAATGCTTGGCCTGTCTTAATGCCAGCATGGGTGATTATTTTCGCAGCTGCGAAGTTAAAGTCGTAACCCGTCTCGTAGGTGCGGACAGGAACTTGCGACAATGCGTCAACCCGTCTGACAGCCAGCTTATGTTCGAGTATGCGTTCAGTTTGCCTTGTATAGAAAAAAAAAGGACAGTTTAAGCACGGAATGCGATACACCACCCTTTATTGCTGTCTGTGTAGAAAGAAAGAGTATTTTCCCGCAGTGTCAGCTGCTGAGTGAACATAGCCAGAAATTACACGTAAAGTGTGTTTAAATATCTGAAACCGAATACAATTACTTGATATGCGCAATTCTAAGGTTTGCATTTTGCCGTTGTCCGCGAAGAGAAGACTGATCATTAATGAATCTCCAGACAAATTCCCTCTAATAGAAAGAAGCAAAATTCTGCAAATAGTCCGTATTGACAGATCATCACGATGCTTCTATAATGTTTCAGGAAGTATTTTTTTGTAAACCAGAAAAGGCAGCATGTGATACTGAATTATCATTGAGTATTCCGACAGAGACATTGGACTCTAGGATGGCCACTTCTGGCTCACAAGCCGTCGTCAGCTGGAGATACCGAACTCTAGTGTTACGGCTGAAATTGTTGGCACACTCGAGTCTCAAACCCTCGATCTCTCCGGTCAGGGCAAACGTCCTAACCATTGATTTACGGTCCGCCGTCTTGTCAGTTTTAGATCAGGAGTATATAGTAGCATGCAATCGTAAACGGATCCGCTCTGGACGTACTGAATTTTACCCATGAATGCGCATACAGTAAACCCTGGTTACTGAGATAATAAGCAGAAAGTGGACTGTTGAAAACGAAATGTTAAAACAATGAACTCGATATCCCTTATATAGACGGGCTTGCCAATAATTTTATTTCTTGTGCAACAACCTGGCTTATAAAAACTGAATTATTCTGCACAATAAACATCGGCAGTTGGTGAATTGTGTCAGAGCTACTTTTTATTGTAAGTAGTGGGAGACCTGGGAGCTAATTAAAACCGACAACTGTGCCCTCGGTATCTTCGTGGAAGTATACTCTGCAAACAATTCCGCCACTACTGACCTTTACAAAAGTTTTCAACGGATCAGTTTGTCCCCCGGATGAAACGTTATTCCCGGAAAACTAGAAGGCTTTTCGTGAATATTCGTTTTAATAGGCGGAGTTAAGAAACATTACAGGTTGCTCTTGGTTTATCTCCCTACCAATGGACACATATCCATCGGCTATGGTCGAAAACGTGGCATCAGTTTGGCGAAATTGTACCAATTCTCAAGTTGCAGCTCATTCGACGAGACCCGGCCACACATTCCCCTTTAATGAGGCCGAACATCTCACAAGAGGTGATAGTCGTGTGGATCGAGTATTAATTGAGTCATGGTTCACGGCCACTAATAAATAAACAAGTTCAACGACTGGCCTAATTCATATCCGGTGCTGAGACTCAATTTGGCCAAATCAAGTGGCCACTTGGGGAAAGCATGACCACCGCCTCATCTTACGCCAACACCGGGAACCAGATAACCGAGCAATCATCATGCCCGAGTCCATCACGCGTGATGAAAGTGAGAGCTCACGTACCGGTCAACAGACTATCAAGAAGGCAGTTACTGTTAATTGTCATTGTGTGTTTGCAGTAGTGACTATTTCCTATAAATACTGAAAATTATTGGGCATATGTTACCCGTAGCTGCTACTGCTTTCTGCTTATGTCTCTGATGATGAATACGCCACGGATCTCGAAGCGTTCGGCAAATAAAAGTATTGTCCCAGCGATCGAGTCGTCTTCTTCTCACTGATACTTTTCTTCTGGATTCAAAAGGGATGCCACATTTGTTGCCTCGATCGAAGTTCATAGGGGAATCGGCTGCCCCGTTTTGTCTTGACTTCCAACTTCGAGTTATGAAAAGACACTGGCGATCCCTAACCAAGCAGTATTACTGAAAAGCAAATACGAATCAAATTGGAGCTATTGTTTCCTACCTGTTTGCCGTTTTCAGATAGCCGGACCCCAGATTCAGATAGAACAACTGTCATATGTGAGTTCGTTCCCTCACAATCACTGTCGTCTATCTGCATTCTCCAGACTGTAGGGCATCCAGGCCGCATGCTAGAGCAGTCGAGTTGCATGCTCGACTATGTTGGGGGCAGCTTAGCTTAGGAAAGTCATCGTAGTTTCGTTTCTTTGGTGGATGGACGTTCAACAGTCATCTCACTTGTCCAGTTTGTCCTTGAGGTTTAACCTCGAGCCTTGCAAGCAGCCACACAGCGACTTGTATTATAGGCAGATAAACATTACGGACGGGACTCAGGCAGCCTGGAATGGCCATGGCTGGAGCCGTCACCTATCACCCATACCCGGCCCCAAACAGTGCACCACCGGGGGCTGGAACTCGCAACCTACTGATTAGAGGTCAGACGCCCTAATCCATTGAGTCACCGGTTCGTTCTTTTTTACCGGTTTCGATCAAAAAATATTAACCTTGGTGAATGGATGCTCACCGATCGGTTATGGGCCTCCGTTGTCTCGTTCTGCCTCGGGGTTCAACCTCGTGTCCTGCCAGCAGCCACACAGCTGTTCGGCATGAGACGTTTACCAACAGAGGCTGGCAGGCTTCTCAATACGTGAATTGCCCAACACGCGGCAGCACTGGGGCGGCGAAATTATGCAAATTCTCAAGTCGCGGCTCATTCGATGAGAACCGGCCACACATTCAAATTTGATGAGGCCAAAATTCTCGCAAAAATGACAATCGGGTGAGTCGAGAATTACTTGAGTCATGGTTCACGAGTCAGAATCCATCAACAGATGCAACTATTTGCCCAATCCATATTTGGTACCGAGACTCAATTTGGCCAAAGCAAGTCGCCGCTTGGGGAACGGACAGGCCACCGCCTTATCCTATACCAGTACCGTAGGGCCAAATAACCAGACAATCGTCACGCCTTAGTCCCGTACGCGTGATGAAAGGTCACCATGTCAGAGCTGCATGCCTTTTAATAGACTAACAATGTTCAAGAAGGCAATTACGGTTAATTGTCGTCGTATGTTTGCAGTTATTATTGTATCCTATAAATACTGCAGATTCCTGTGCATGTGCTACCCTATCTGCTGTTGCTCTCTGAATATGTCTCTGATGACGAATCCGCGACGGATATGGAAACGTCAGTCGAGCAAAAGTATTGTACCACCGATCGAGTCTTCCTCTTCTCAATTACTTCCTGGGACTCGCATGTTCGCTTGTTGAGGCTATTTCGTTTCTGATTGTCAAAGACCCACCGTGATTGTCCAACGCACAAAGACATTGCCCCCATTCGTCCGCACGGAAAGTGCCCCAACATCTCAGTACTGGCAGGCTGTGTACTTTAAGAATACTCACTAAAATACCTCAGCGCTGGCATAAGCCTATTTGAAATTGTGCCTGGCAGAAGATTAGTCAGCTACTATTACTACTACTAGATTCTTCGTGCATAAGGCACATAAACGATTTAACATTAATTGTCGCATCAAGCTGATTATAAAGCGAAGCATAAGAAGATATTGGCAGTCCGTAGCTTTGCATTACTACTGAAAAAATGGGAATCGAATTGGGCTAGTAGTTTCCAACATGTTTGCCATCATCAAATAGCCAGAACGTAAATGCAGGTCAGAGAGCTCTGATACGTGAGTTCGTTCTGTAAATCAGAAGGTATCGCTCAAGACCGCTGTCTCTTAGCTGCATAGTCCCAAGTGTATTCACCAAAATATGCGCCTGCAGTTCATGCTAGAGCATGCTAGGCTTTTGTCTTGATGTATTTCTATATTGGCGGCGACTGAGTTTGAAATCGTTATCCCAATTTCGTTTCTTTGGTGGGATGAGGGGGGCTGTTTATCGATCGTTTATGAACTTCACTTGTCCCGTACTGCCTTGGGGCTCAGCCTCCAGCCGCTCCAGCAGCCATACAGCGGCGACAGATCAATATCACCGACAGAGACCAGGGAGACTTGAATGGCTATTTATGGCTTGTGAGCCGTCACCGGACAACCATATGCGACCCCCGCTTGTGCATCACCCGATGCTCGAACGCGAGACCTACTAATTCGAGGTCAAACGCTCTAAGTTATTGAGCCACAGGCTCCTTTTATTGTAGGTTCCAATCAAGAAATGTTAACGTTTGTAGATATACGCTCCACGATCAGTTTTTGGCCGCACTCGTTCGGTTCTGCTTTGGGGTTCATCCTCGAGTCCTGCCAGTAGCTATATAGCAGCTAATTTGGTCATTGGAATGATCAGTTCTTTTCTGCTTCTCAAAAATCCCCCGTGATCGTCCAACGTATAGACGGGTCAATCTATTGGTCGCCATGGGAAGCAGAAACATGAAGGCCTATACTTTAACAAAACTCCCCAGAACGTCTCTGCATTGGCAAAAACTTTTTTTTATATTGTGTCCGGTAGAAGTTTAATTAATTACTATTGCGCGACCGACCACTTCCTTAACTATGCAGTCAGGGACACTAAAGCGCCCTATCTCTCATGCTTTAAGCCATCAAATCCGATTGTACAGTCGCAGACGGGAAAATGTGTCCAATGTACAATTTCCTCGTGCCTCTGCTGATGGCGATTTACATGATTGCTGTTGCCGTTCTCCTCATCAATCTCCTCATCGCCATCTTCAGGTGAGTTGGGTCTACTTTCAGAGTTTTTGGTGAGGTTGTCTCTAGCGGTCTTTTTGGTCCTTATGTATTATATCTACCTACTTTAATTTTTAAGTAGGTTGAATTACCTGTATAC